CGTCCACCTAGCGGAGTGTTTTGATCGGTAGACTCCCCCGCCTCCTGTTTATTTTGATGGAATGACCTTTCCAGAAGTGAGAGTGAATAGTCAAAAGAAACCAGGATGTGCCCAAGCAGCTGGTCTTGTATGATTGAGCTTCGTCTGGCCACTAACCATTGGCCTTTCAGGCATGATCGGATCTGCGGCTGTGAACAGCTGTCCTGTATAGCTCGCAGGTCATAGAGGCAAACAAGCTATCACACATCAAGGTTCACTCGCGTCGTGATGGAATCCGGTCAACCTCGACCTAATTCTTCAATATCAAAGAATAAGGGTGTGTACATCGGCCGACCTTTCAAGGGGGATGATTTGATAACCCGAATATTTCTTCGTCTAACACACCAATGATTTTCGCGGTACATGTCCGTCTTTTACCCGCCTTAATGGGGATTAAGAAGACGCTGGTGTTACCTCCAGTTGTGTCATTTCAATTAGAGGTACTTCGGAAGGACAGAACACCCTTCCGCCGCAATGTGCGAACGTCTTAAAACACCGTTTTCGAGGTAGTAAAGCTACCACAAAGTTTAATTGTACGATATTTGCTAGACTCCGGCTATCAAATCAATGTGCCAAAAGCCTTTCGGGTCAGGTCGAGGCTACAAAAAACCACGGATTTAACGATTTCTGGAAATGGTAGTTATTCTTCGCTTGAAACCACAACCATGTATGTGATGCAACTTTTGTTGCTGTGCGAGTAGTTACATCACCCCCTACAACGCCGTACCACGTTGTGTGACTTCTCCTTTCCCTCCCTCCCNCCGCCTCTTCCCCCCCCCCCACCACCACCACTCGCATTCACCTTGTTTTAAAAGGCTTTACTTTCGTATCTTCTTATCAAATTTTGTTATCTAAGTTGACCTTATTCCGTTATCCAATTCTGATGACTCAGTTCAACTTGTGTCGTTCTTCGTTTGAGGTGTCTACTTATGTGTGAGCATAAAGCCGAGTGGGAGCACGTGAAATTTGTGGCCAATATCAATTCTGACCACATATGTCTTGTGTTAATGAAATGAGTAGAAAGATGTTTTGCATATTGGCAACATTTGGCTTTGATAAAAAAATGCACCCATCCTTATATAGCCTTGCGCGACTTGCCCACAGATTGAATGATAAGAAAAATCTGGGATGTTCCGACCCTTAACACCTCTGATATATGGCTAAAATTAAGTGGTATGATGACTTCAAACTCCGCCGTCCGTCAACACTTGACTATATAGGGAGCCTAACCTTGAAAAAGTATTGAAAATCGGTTTTCATTGCTCGGGTGAACTGAATTCCATTTCGTCTGTTCACCGAGCTTCGCAATTTGTTCGCCAAGCCCGACGAAGAGGCGAAATAGAATGAGCCTAAGCTTGATCCTCAAACAACATCGTCTTCAGTTGTTAGGTCATATCCTTCACTGTACAAAAATAGTGCTCACAAGAAAAGCCTGTCGTCGACGTCTTGTTCGAATTAGAAGTGTCACATTGAAGGTCAGTCAAATCAAGTGTTGATAGTTTGGGTCTTCAGTCAGTTTTTGGAATGCGCTACTGGCAAAACAACTGGATTTCCTGGTGCGCCGACGTTGCCGCGGGTCGCATAAGCTGCTGGAATCAGAGACCTCGAAGAAGTCGACTTTTCGTCGCACAAGAGATACTCGCATAAAGTCAAGGTTCACTTGCTGAGGAAACCCACGGTACAAGATGGTCTGCCACCCGGAAGCAACTTGATACAACTATTCTAACATGAGGATAGGGCTGCTTCCGTAATCAAATCTATAATAAAGTTGAATAGAAACTGAGAGAGGGGCAACCCTGACGAGCAATACTTTCCGTGTTGATCTCGGGTGAAAAAGTGTCGTACGCTGGGACTCGACTTCGGCTAATAATAGAAAGGGATTGTAATATTGAAATAGACTTCTCAGGTACACCCTTTGGGGAACGGCAGCGCCAGAGTATTGAGCGGTCGACTAAACCGGAATCCGCCATCAGATTGAGTAAGATAGAAATGGTGGGTCCACGAAAAGAAGGTCACTGCTCTGGAATTTGCTAAGTGGGTAGATGTGGTCGATACAACCTCATCCAGGTCTAAAACCAGCCTGGTTCTCACGTATGCACTTTCCACATGCCGCAGACAATCGGCGAAGTATGATCCCAGCGAAAAGTATAGAGGCAATGTCAGTTAAACTAATTTCTTTGTGGTTTTCACAAGAGGATTTGTCGCCTTTTTTGTAGATCGGTATGATGGCCGATTGAAATCATTCAGTTGGGGCCCGTTTGCTCTTCCATATCGGTCCCAGGAGTTTCGTCAACTGCAAGACTAACACTGAACGCCGGTGGCAACAGCCCATCTGGACCGGAGGTCTTATACCTTTTGAAACAACTTATTTCTCAAGAAACCTCCATTAGAGATGTGGTGGGGGGGGAAGGGCGATAGATCAAATGTCGATGGGGGCCAGCTGAACTGAGCCTCAAAGTGTTCTGCCCGTCGATTAAGATGGCTTTGCTGATCGTGAATCAGTGTACCATTGGATTCTTTAATTACCTCACGCCTGTTTTCCTAGGGCTCGTATTCCTACTTAGATGGAGAAGATTGCGACTATTACCCATAGCCGCGACATTCTCCATCTCTTTACATTTTCCTGCCCACCACTTTTCGGGATCATTCCTCAGACTTTTGATGAGCTGGCGTTTGAGGGATTTGCGCGCTGTCATATGTGACATCAGGAGGAAGGGTTCTGCGGGCGTCCAGCAGAGCAGCCGAGGTCGATGAGATCCATCGTTTATGTTTTGAGCTTGCGTCCGAGTCCGCCGTTGTTTTTATCAATATAGCATAGCTTCCTTGATTTGTTTCCAGTGTTCATTGAGTCCTTCGGCTGGTGTTTGAACTGATAGGTGATCGGAGAGCTCCGCTTTGAAGGCCGATTTGCAACAATCGCTGACATTGTATCGTTGGTATCCGTTGTCGGTGGCCTTCTTGCGATTGTTTGCCAGGTTTAAGGATAATTTGGATCTTAACAAAGCGTGGTCCGTATCCACAGGTGTCGACCAGGGAGAGTCATTCTCGAATCGACCACCTCTAACGGTAACGGAAGGCGATGTGCGTTCAACGCTGTGGAGAGATTGGCAGTCTCCATGTAAGGTATTGTCACTTCTTGTGCGAGAAGTTAGTGCTTGACAGGAACAATCCGTCGTCCGTGCACAGTTGAAGTGGACGATCACCATTATCCGTCCGGTTGAATTGCATTGCATGTGGTCCACCAAGAAACCTTTCTGATTCGTCCAGGGATCCCACTTGAGTATTGAATTCTGCGGCTACTATCACGACGTCGTCGATGGAACACTTCGAAGCAATTGAGAAAGATCCTTGTAGAATCCACTCTTGATTTCAGGTATACCGCAGTCGGTCGATGCATACACCGATGTGACGAATAAGCATCGACGCTTTGTTCTTTATCTGTTGATCCATACTGGATCGTTGAGACCTACCGCGAACTTCGGATGCCGAATCGCCTGACGTCCGGAGGGTGAAGCGTGAGGTCTAGTTTGGGTTAGGAGAACACAGGGGCATGATTGAAGTAAGGTGTTGCATGCGCGTTTCGGTTGATGTGTGGCGTAAACAGGCGTCTGTGGTTATTCGGGATTAAGAGGAAGAACTGGACAGATGAGGATGGTGTTCCAAGTGGGCGCCTACGACTTTAGGGCACAAAATACTTCTCTGTCGCCCACACTGACGAAGGTTTTTTCTTTGGGAACCCTAACCGGAGCCTTCGACTCAAAAGTCTGACTCATAAGACAGTGGGGCGTAAATCCAACATGAGGGCGTAAACGAAGCGCTCTTTCGGGAGTTTCTGGAGACCTGTCACGCAAGGCCTTCGGTTTTCCGTTAATTGTGTGGTTCGCTGTTGCGTTGGTTATCGGTTCGCTGTCCAGTGAATTGCGAAGACTTCTCCCACTGTCAAGAGGAAGCCCCAGGTACCCCGCTCCTACGTCCATCTAGCGGGGGTTTTTCGACCAGTAAACTGCCCCTCACCGTGTTTATTTGCTTGAGTGACCTCTCCAGGGGCGGTTGTGTATAGAAAAGGAAGCCAGGAGGTGCCCAAGCAGCTCGCCTTGTCAGACTTATTTTCGTCTGGGCTCTACCCATTGACCTTTCAGGCATAATTGGATCTGCGGCTGTGGGGAGCCATCCTGTATAGCTCGCAGGGTCATGGGGCCACGCAAGCCATCACACCACGTCAAGGTGCATTCTTGTCGTGATGGGTGCACTTGAAATACAAGGAAAACTAATGGGCATGATCGCCACAAGCTCTTAAATTGTCAACGTTGGCTTTTAAACATTTGTGTTTGACGGTTAGGGCCAGATAAATACTCTAGGTTTTGTAGGGCGAAACCATTGATTAGTGGATCGTGTTGCTCACCTTGGATAGAATCCACTTGGCTCACGTATTTTTACTGGAGGGATGAGCCAAGTGAGCGGAAGTGATGAGCAGCGTTGCTTATATATTTATTCATCCGTCTACTTCACTCATTTAGGTTACTGAAGAGTGATCAAACTCCAGTAGTGTTTTTTCAAGATTGATAAACGTGGCAACTGAATCTGATTTTAATATTTCGCTTTAGTGGCCGCTGTTGTTATACTGTGGTTGAAAACCAGTCATTTTTCATTTGCTTCATCCAGCTAATTTTATCTTGTTTACGATCTCACTGATGAGTTTTCGTTCCATCGAATTTTTCGGTTTTGTTAACCAACTGAAACAAACGGCAAACCAAACTGGCGCATCATTGTGCTCTGATCTGAACCTACTCTTCCAATCCAGCTAATTCCGAAATTGTTATGTTTACGTGCCGGTGTTAATATTTCGCGGTCTATCTTATACTGGGAATCTATTACCCAATGACCTTATTCACATGTGAGTTGTGCGCACCGTCAGATTAGTATTATCATTACTGTTTTTATTTATAATTGTTTCCAGGTACACTGCGGCCGGATCTGATCGAATCAGCTGCGCATATAGTCAGCTCACGAGCAGACACTATCAAGACTCATCACAATACAACGGCTCTGGTTCAGCACCTACGAAAACAAGTACGTCCATGAGTAAGATCATTACCGAAATATAAATATAATGGGCAAGCTTTGCACATTTTTATTAGAGTAATGGAGGATTTGATCTGATTATATGATGAATTCGTCGTGTAAATGAGGTGTGAGCTATTGAATCTCATTGAATTTCATGAGATTATTAAGACACACCAGGGCGAATAAATCTGTGCCTGTGATTTGCAACGCATAAAGTTAGTTAGTTAACGAGTATCACCGGGCGAACTCATCGATGCAAGTTATACGATTAACATGCAATCGATGTGGTATTTAACTGTCCATGGGCAAAATCCATCGATTAAGAAAAGTCTATTCAAATCAGTGTTTTATCTGTTAAGATTTGGTGTAAATATGGCGTCTTTTATGAGTTTTCTTCATCACATTTTAGAGGGCTAAATTTTTCCCGAACGCAGAATCCGTTCACTCATTCGATCTTACTGTTTCCTATTTCAATAATGACCAGTTGAGTAGTGATGGCTTGGAATACTGTACTTGCACTCCTCTCTACATCTATTCTCAGTCACTACCACGCCAAATTGTTGTATTTTCTGTATCTAAATGTCCTTTCCTCACTGCGTATATTTCATTCCCAGCCTTGAGTCTAAACAGCATCCATCTTTATTGCTTGAGTGATGTTACAATTTATTTTTTTTAAACGGGCGCTGGGCAGGTTCGTATCTGTATTTGATCGTGTCCATTATCACTTCATTTAGTAAACAAACAGTCTTTTCCCAATACAGCTCGCAATAACGTTATTCGTGCATGTATAGTTCCTCAGAGTTGTATACATTCGATACAGTTTTCTGCGAACCACTCAGTGCTTTTCAGTGCCTGAGTTTAGGTGTTCTCATTTCGGGGAGATATTGATGGTCAATACTAGAATTCATTCGGTAAATCATCCTAATCAAATATACACAACTTCTGTTCAGTTGGTATTCTCTGCAAAACAAAACTAACAACCAAGCATCTATATTTGCGAATCACTGTAATGCTCGAGCGTGCACAAGTTTGTTTCAGATATGAATCAAACTCAAATGGCTTTCTTTGTCACAGGAATTTCTGCTTGGCTGAGATCCCGTATTGGTGCAGTTACTACTGTTATTTTTGGTAGTACGTAACGAATAATCATTGCAACTCAGTATATATGTTACTTATGGTTAGTTTTACCTTAACCCTTCAGCTGATTCACTCTACTGAACAATGTTTTACTGTAAGATAATTACCACCTGAATCTAGGGTTGATCAAGGTCCCAAAGTTGTTGCTGTTTGCTTAATTAGGAGACAGCTGTCGGCCTGATTCGCATCCAAACAAGGTTAATCTTTACCAACGTTCCTCAGCTGCCGAGAGTTCGATGCTTTTCAGCTATAACGGTTACAACTTTATCTGTTTTGGTGGATACTAAGACAGTATGCGTCTTGTTATGTGCCTTTGATACACTTATTCGGGTTTTGATGTTCTGGAAATTGTTCGGAATCACATCATCTTGTTTACTATGCCATGTCGATTCACCACTCAATGGTCGTTTGCCGACTATTATTTGCACCACCGTCAATTTTGCAATTTTAGAATTTGTCTACTTAATTATTTGTCAGTAATCGAAGCTTTTTGCATATTTGATCTAGAGGTTCGCAGCCTGCCGCTTGACGCATAATTGAATCCAATCACGGTCTATACTAGTACACTTTCGCATCACAGAACCGTAGCGTTTTATCAGATATCCAGTCATTTCGCTTCTTTAAAATTTGGCTTCGTGTTTTTCTGACAAACAAAAAGAAACCTGAGCTTTCAATTAAGTGCAGTTAATTCGAAATGGGCGTGATCAATGTGGATACTTCATTCAACTACCGATGTGTTTGTTTCCTGTGAGTTGTCCTACCTAGTTCTCACGAAAAAAATGAATGTGTATATGCCAGACGTATACCAAACTTCCAGTGTTTGGTTAACATTCAACGACTTTCACTCCGTTGTGTTTTGCCACTTGACGAAAACATTTGCGATAATGCCGATCGAACAACTGAACCACATCAGTCGTACTGACGTTTTTAGCACACTTACATTCCGTTCTATCGACGGTGTCCACGTAATACATATTTAGCCTTTACCATCATATTTTCATTTGCCGATTCGGCTTGGTTGTTGTGAAATTACGCAAAACAGTAAACTCAGTCTAGCGTGCTAACCTCGTGTGATAGCTTTTGTGATTTCATCACTGACGTTTCTTTATTAAGAAAGTAATCAAATCTGAAAGTTGATATAACCGATGGCAGAGCTTTTTATTTTCAACAACAAGTGGCATTCTACCTTCATCTTATCCGGCACATCTAACTCTTGGATTTGACTTGCGTTTTGTCTAATAATCATCAGGTCTGTGAGGTCTAAACTGTAAAGACTGTTTTTTTTAGTACGCAGTAGGCAATTAATGGTTCCGAATAATTTCCTGTCGAATTTATTTGCTGAACCCATCTGATCGCTTGTGAAAGATAAAAATTATTTTTTCACTTGAGGCATGTATCTAAATCTTCGTGTGGTCTTCCTTTTTTCCACTCATTTGGTTCGATCGTACTACGAATGATATGGTTAAATTGATCTGTTTCTTTCTGGTAGGCGTGCATTACGCAATTAGTCCATTTATTCACCGTACCGTATGCCCGATGAACGGCGATGTGAGTTAGGCTGAGTGAGACAAAGCTACGGATTAAAATGCATTAAGGAACATTTAACATTCAACGCGAACCTCTGGGAAGTAGGGTAGGAGTAGAGAAGTTTGCTGAAGAAAAAACCGGGGACGCCAGGTAATTTATTACTGAATGCCAATTTACTCTATCATGATAACGGATGAATACGACTTCTCCGTTGGACAATTATCTCAACCTTCTCTTTCAGTATCTGGCGTTCGTTTGTTTGTTTCCAAAACTGTCATTGACGCCTCACATATGCACATATGTATATGCATAGTATCATAAACGTATTCATCCAGATAATCTGCCTGGCTCAACAGATGTCAGTTTCGTTGTACGTGCTGTCACTTGGTTTCGTTGTCCCGTTCGGGCGTCTGTTTTTTGTCTAGTCACCTGACAATCCCTTCCAAATTTTCCGTTTAGATTCATTTGGATCGATGTGAATGAGACATCACTCCTTCAGTTTTGAGTGGTCAGTATTTGTCTTTGAGCTTCGTCGCGATGTTCCTAAGCATACAAGCAATAATCGGTATGCTTGACAGCCATATGCTTATGGAGGTGGTATTTTCATCAAAGCATGCGACTGAGAACCAAGGTATTCATTATCATCATGATCATCATTGTCATCGTACAGCGAAATACAGTGAAGCGAACTTCACTGACCGCTGCCAAACTTGCAATGCATACAAGATTAGTGGTAAAATTTAAGGTGAACAGGGATTGGACCTATTTTGAGGGTGGGGGAAGAAGGTGAACCTCTATGGTCAACACATACAATAGAACTCTGCATACATACCGTTTCAAGCATTCTGACCGGATAAGAAACGACAACAAGAACGCCACTGCTGTCGGTTCGCTGCCATATCCTTCAATATCCAACCAACCAGTTGTGGTGTCTTTCGGACCCCAACCTGGAAGGCGCGAGACACCTACTCTATCTACTGGCTCTGTGCATTTCTTCATGCCTCGTCTCCACATCATCTGTTGACCTCCACGTGATTTTCTCCAGCCTGGATTAGCTACAGCGAATAAAGCGCGGTGCGGCAGACGATGGCTGGGCATATGCAATACGTGCCCTAGCCAGCGAAGCCTAGTAATCTGAATTCGGTATGCTAGGAGATTTTTACCTGACAGACTCCAGAACACACGGTAACTTACCTCCACGTCACTAACCGGTTCGCTCCAGCCAGAGCTATAAAGACAGTCGACGTTGTTTGTGAAGTTATTATCGTTAGTTTCTTCTGGGTGTTGTAAGAAGCAAATCAATTTTGGAGAAAACAGCTCACGGTTGAACGGAGGATGTAACAAAAGAATTTCTAAGGGATTTGACACACGAGTTGTTCTCTCCATTCGTCTTGCAGTATTTTTGGGTTTATCTGCCCGCCACGGACTCAGATCAAGCAAAATAGCTATAAACCACAACTAGCGAGGTTGGCTGCAAGACTGCCCATCGTATTGAAGTGCCTCCTTCGAGTCCGATCACGCATTATTCTGCACTAAGCGTCCATGTGCTTCGGTGGATGTTCCAAATGCACGGCACGGCGGTGGTTAGACTGCGATAAACTGTTGCTATCCGCTTGCTTAACCATCTTGGAAAATGGGCTACTTGGAGTGATATGACCAACCCCCCCATTAATTCGCTCTCTTCACTCATCTAGAATATTTTGGATCCTGCTGGCTTCATAAATTTTGGTTTGACGCTTTCTGTTGTGACACTTTTTATTTCCACTGAGTCTCTGCGACACCGATCGATTCCGGATGGATGCGAGCATAATAAACATAACTCAACGTGCTCTTGAGGTGAAACTTAACGCCATTATGGGAAATTGCCTTAAGCTTTTCTATTTAATCGGGGTTTTCCTTAGCTACATCA